TTTTTTTTTTTTTTTTTTTTTTTTTTTTTTTTTTTTTTTTTTTTTTTTTTTTTTTTTCCATTTATATCATCTCCGATGCGAGTGTCCCTCTATGCAGTGCGGGGATTACGAGCGCCGCGTCGAGTACTCCGATGCAGAGCTTTTTATTACTCCTCATCCTCGTTCCGTCTCTCTCCGTTTCGTGTGAGGTTGCGGTGACTGGAAGAGCGCGCGCGTACGTGAGTTTCTGGACTGATTGTGGACGAGGACATTATTTTAAACTTACTCAAGGTTTATTTCTTAAAACTAAGATCATACATATGAGAGTCTCTCGTGGGATTAGTATACGAGCTAGTACTCTCACGAGCTATTAAAAAATCATTTGAAGAGTCTTTCAAGATGATTCAAGCTGATCGCCAATAATGTCGAATGTCGTTTTTAACTCGCAGATTATCCGGGATAATTGTGAAAACTGAAAACTAAAATGTGAAGAATTTGCTCAAAACTATAGCAAGAGTCTTGGGGACCCCTCCGCTTTTCCAGTTGCGGTAACATCGATAAAACACGAAAATCCCTATAATTGGTCTCGTTCATATTCCCATCGCAGTCAGTGCGAAATCGCGATGAAAAAAAAAAAAAAAAAAAAGCATGCAACAATTGACTGTTTCGGTATGTATGTACAGTAATGGTGTTCTTACGGTCGTCGATGCCTTCACCACCGCTTTGACGGTCGCGGTTGAAGAGACGAATACCCGCTACGATAAGAGCCAGCTCCGCCAATTGTTCTTCCTTCTCGGGCTCCGATAAAGCGACGAAGCGCGGAAGCTCCGAGGGCTGGATCACGCTCTGCAAGCCGATAGCGACTTCCCTACGGACGTTACACACACATGCATACATGCACTGCCGTCGCGAGCAAAAAAACTTGTCAAGCTTTTTATACTGTTTGAATCAGTTTCTATTTATGTAGGGGGAACATAGATAATGTATGGTCGAGTGTGTCTTAAATCGATACACGGAGCCGAGTAAAGTATGTAAAAAGCCAAGTAAAAACGCTCCGTGATTCGCAGGTGACGCGTTTTTACTCATGACGGTAGTACACGCATATAATATGAGAATGGGTCGTTTTACGACACTTCAAGTTTTTTATTTTGCTGAATACTTTCATCATTGATAAAAAATATAAAAAGTTTTGGGGCCTTAAAGTTCGATGGTTCAAGTTAGAATATTCGTTGTGTGGTTTTTTAAATTTATCTTTCCCATACAAGAAATTTGGACAGT